GTTCTGCTATGAAGCTCTCTTTGGTATAAGGAAATTAGAGCTGATATAAGTCAGTGTCATAGCATTTGCAAACCAAAATAAATAGCAAATAGTCTAAAAGAAGCTTAAGATCCTCAAAGGGCATTTCCAAAGGTCTGATGGCTTTGGGGTCAAGGAAGGTATGAGGTACTATTCAAGTCAACTAAGCCAGTGATTTTCTACAAAACTTTGTATGTTAAGGGGCCAAAGACTGGTTGAGAATTTTAAGAAAGATGGACCCTTTTCAAGTGGGGGAAAAAAAGGACATATACATAATTTTGCACAATTTCAAAATGTGCAATAATTTTCTAAAGCCTATGCTTGGACTTTGGATTAAAAAAAACGATGAGTTAAACAAACAAATGATGAGCTAGTGTGTAGATCCATTTCTAGCAGGATGTAGCCAGCAATAATACATTTTTTTCTTAATTCGAAACAGGAATGAAGGAGACAGAGTATATCAGCATTTAAAGTAGGACAAGATAAGGAGGAGAACCCCCTGAAGAGCTCTTCAATTCCAACATACTTACCTGAAGGGAGCACTGAATCATCAAGACAAGATATCCTCAAAGCATCCAAACCCAAGACTTAGGCTGGGGCCCAGAGTTTCTCTTAAATCCCTCCCATCCACATTTATTTAGTAGAAACAAAAGGGTCATTGAGATTTATCTATGAGAATCCTGCAGGTTTTGAGAGTGAGACTCAGCTATCCTCGTGGGAAAATGAAAATCAGGGTGGATGTCACTGGTAGGGACAGGATCATAACAAATTATTCTACCGGCTAGAGATAGATGCTTACCAACAAGCCATACTGAGAAGAGAAAGGAGCTAAATCCCAGCTAATGGTGGGCAAGGGCCTTGAAGGACAATTTTTAAAAGATGTACTAAAGACAAGCCAATCCAGAAGGGAATAAACTGAGAATAGTTTCACAGTTCTTGGAAAAGCAAGTTTTCCCTTCTCCATAAACTTTATTCATGAAGATATGTGAAATACAAAAAGAGGTCAAAGTGCCCTTACCGAACACCATATACAGAAATTAATTTAAAATGAATCAAAGACCTAAATGTAAAAGCTAAAACTATAAAAGGCAACACAGAGAATGGGAGAAAATGTTTGCAAATCACCAGGTCTGATGAAGGATAAATATCTATAGAGTATATAAAGAATTTTTAAAATTCAACAACAAAAATCCAAATAACCCAATTAAAAAATGGGCAAGGGGCCTGAATAGAATTTCTCCAAAGAAGATAAAGAGTGGTCAATAAACATATAAAAAGATGCTCAACATTAATAATGACTAGGAAATAACAATTAAAGCCACAATGAGATACTACTTCACCCTCATTAGGATGGCTATTATCAAAAAACAGGAAAAATTGGAATAATTTTATATTTTAGGTGCGACCAATGTGGGAAACACTATGATAGCTTCTCAAAAAATTAAACACAGAATTAATTCCCATTTGATCCAGCAGTTCCATTTCTCGGTATATACACAAAAGAACTGAAAACAGGGACTCAAACACCAATTTCACAGCATTCTTCACAGTAGCCACAAGGTGGAAGCAACCCAAATGTCCGTTGATGGACAGAAGGATAAACAAAATGTGCTATACACATCAATGGAATATCATTCACCTTCGAAAGGAATGAAATTCTGATACATGTTATAACATTGAAGACATTATGCTAAAAGAAATAAACCAGATATGAGCAGGTTAAGTCACTTCAGTTGTGTCTGACGCTTTGCGACTCTATGGACTGTAGCCTGCAAGGCTCCTCTCTCCATGGGATTCTCCAGTCAAGAAAACTGGGATTGTCATTTCCTTCTCCATAAACAAAAGGACAAACATTGCATGATTCTGCTTTCTGTGAGACCCTTAGAGGAGTCAGATTGTTGTTTAACAACAATAAGTTTTGTTGTTAAGCTGTGTCCAACTCTTTTGCGACCCCATGGACTGTAGCCTGCCAGGCTCCCACACAGAGACAAACAGTAGAAGAGTGATTACCAGGGACTGGGGCGAGGGGAAATGAGTTACTGTTTAAAATGGGTATAGCATTTCAGCATGCAATGATGAGAAAGTTCTGGAGAAGGATAGCAGTGATGGTTACAACAATGTGAATGTACTTAACACCACTGAACTGTACACTTAAAAATTGTTCAATTGGTAAATTCTATGTATATTTTACCACACTCACACAAAAAGAGTTAATATGTACAAGGTTCACAATGAACCCCAGACAAATATGACTCCTGTGTGTACAATGTAAAAATGCATGCAGTTTATTACACTATAAAATGCATGACCATTCAGTCACACTGAGGGTATTAACGGATTAAAAAACTTTGCTCTCTATGAAGCCAATGAGAAGTAACAAAAAATGTCATCTATCATCTGGACACCTGAAAATAAACCCCAGTGTGAGAGTTTGGGCTCTGTTTGATAAGCAATAATGGATTTACAAGTATCATCTTGAAATGCCTCAAACAGACTGCTAGAATGCGTCTGGGGGTTGTCAGAACTCAAAAAGCCATACATCTCTTGCCAGAAGAAAATGGCAGCCTGAGCAGGCAGATCTAGCGAAGAGCCCTCTCTTATCTGCTGTTTTACTAAGCTCACTAAACCCCATTTAATGCCTATCCATGGTCTTTAGGTTTACTTTAACAGTACTTTAGAATCTACTTGGGGATATTTCTTCTTTCTACTTAGTTTGCTGCTAACAAGTGCGGGTCCTATTTTTTTTTGGTGGGGGGGGAGGGCCACATGGCCTGTGGGATCTTAGTTCCCTGACAAGAAATCAAACCCGTGCCCCCTGCATTGGAAGTGAGGAGTCTTAACCACTTGACAGAAAGGGAAGTCCCCACAGGGCCTATTGCATCCCAAACCCAGTTCTTTAGGAAGCTGTGAATACACTTAACATTACTGATATGAGCATGAAGTGAAGGGAAAGAAGTGCTCCAATACATGCTGGAGATTAACAAGGAGTCAAAATACTTCTAACCTGATAGTGCTGAGAATAAAACCAAGTGTACTCTAATGCTGTCATTTATTGTCCTTCAGAGTCAGTTAGGGAAGAGAAGCAACAACTATTTTGAGGGCAGTTTCGAAAAGGGTCCCAGAATAGAATAACCTTTCCATCAGTACCCAACTGAAAAGGATTGCTAAGAAAGGTGAGTATACACAAACTCCATGACAGTACGGACTACACTTAAGATTATTCACTAATGATCCCTACTACCCAGCACCACTCTTTGTACACAGCAGATATGCAATATTATTTATTAAGAAAAGAAATCTTTGAGAGCTGCTTCCCCTTCCTCATTTTCAAATAGGGCTGTGTATTCTCCCACTCTATAGAAGTCGCCTCATCTCTGGCTTGTGGATGCTTTCTGAGAGGCACTTTCATCACTTCATTTAACTCTGAAAGAAGTTGGAGAGGGGGTGAGGACACGTGCTTGCTAATCATCCTTTTCCAGATTGCCTCATGCGCCAGAACGGAATTTTATTATTGGTCTGTGGCTGCTACTGCTGTAGAAAGATTTCAGCCTGACCTTCCCAAGCTGCTGGGGGATGAATACTGCACGTGGCTGAATGGGAAAAAAAATGTGTCTTCCTCTTTTTTTTTTTTTTTAAAAAAAAAAGCTTTTAGACTAAACAGAGCTCACTGTGATAGGAAAGTCACCCTTTCTTTCACTATACAAAGCTCAAGATTTTGAATTCTTTTGCATAAAAACGATATAACAAAACTGATCTGAACAGGTTCACCAGGAAAAAGGTAGGATGTTGAAGCACCTCACAGAGAGCAGTGGCATCAAAGTCCTGAATAGGACTTAGGGTTGCTCCATAGGCAGAAGAGGAAAAAAGAAAATGAAAGCCACTTATCAAAGTGGTTTAAATAAGAGGATGGATTCCCACAGCTGGCCTCACAAAGGAGAATAAATATGTCAAAGGGAATAACTGATAGACTAATTGAGTCCTATCCATCTGGCTGAGCAAAGAGCCACTGGTGAGAATACTGAGAAGCTGTCTGTTAGGCAAAGGCTTGCTTTGGTGCCTCATTTGGCCAGTGGAATAGCTTTTAGGAACACTGAACACACAATCACACCACAGCTGGCTAGCTGGCCCTGCCAGCAAGAGGCTCACAGAAGGGTTACACTGATGCAAAGGCCAAAAAAGGGAAAGCAAAGCATAGGCGATTTTGCTTTTTTTAATTGGCCTGGAGCCTATACTTGGACTCTCACCTCATGAATACCCAGGCCCTTCAACTAGGGAGTAGAGTGAGAAGGGAGACTGTATGAATATATGTCTCATTTTGTGCTTTTGAAAACAAGACTCAAAGTCTTGTTCTGAAACATCAAGTTCAATATCATGCTATGCTAAAGCCCCATCTTACTTTTATATAATGCAGAACTCAGGGCTCTTTTCTTTGGGAAAAGAGGAAATCAGGCCAGACTCAAGGAAAATGAACACACAACACTATCTGTATGTGCCACAGTTCATGCCACAGAAAAACCTGCTCAGAAATAACTTCTCAAGGCATGTAGAACTCAATTCTTAGGCAAATCTGCCCCAAGGAGGGTTCATATTTTAAGGAGCCAAACAACATCAAATTAAGCTGAACTCGGTTTTTCTAACTGGAAGTTTCAACCATTTCTAAGTTTTCATTTCTTATTTTCAAAAGTCAAAATGACTCTCTGCCTAAAATTTTAAAAAAAGAAATGCCTTATCACCCACACTAAAATAACAATTCACCAAAATTTCACCTACATTATTTTTTACATAATTAAATGAACCCTTCATATGGCACAAAAGCAGAAGCCATCATTCTAATTAAAGTACTATCAACAAATCCCTTACTAATTCCTCTTAGCAGCCTGGCTCTTGCCACTCACACTAGAAGCTCAGTCACACAATCCCCCTGCCAGAGGACTTGATGCTGGCCACCAACTAGGGCCACCCTGAGGAAAGTAGAGGCTTACCTGCTCCTCCGACAGCTGGGATATGTGATTCACAGCAGCGTAGGATTCAATTTTGGGGTTAAAGTGGTTGATGATGGCTCTGAAACAGAGAATTAACATTAATACAGTACAAGATGGAATAAGAGGATAAAAGAGTTAAAAACAAGTATCAGCTATCCTCTGATTTAGAGTATGAGACCATGGATGTGACTCTCAGAAGGTAACCTCTTATGAACATGAGGTCACATGGGGTGAAGTGATTACTCTAAAATGGGAGAGGTTTAATAACTTATTAGACAGAGAACAGAATCAAGTATGCCTGCTCTGTAAATGAACTAAGGGAAAATCTCACAACCAAACAAAAGTCAAAACCTAGCATCCTTCAGATGAGAAACAGGGCTCAGAGGGCTGTCCACCAGGAGGCCCTTGTGTTTCAGTCAGAGAAGAGAAAAAAAAAACTTTGTTCTGCTCTTACTCGGGAGAACAGGGCATTCTATGAAGCTGGACCAACATGTGGGTTGAATACAGTCGCTGAAGAACCTAAGATTTCCCGAAGCCTACAACCGTCATATCTGTTAATTAATATTTTGAACCAAAATTTTATTTCCAGCATTCAAACCAAAATCTGAACGTTGTTTTTAAACATTCTCTCTTCAGGGTCACCAAGTCACATCAAATATATTTCCTAAAAACCTCTGAAATCTGAAATAAATTTCCCTGAAACCAATGCTTTAGTATAGATCTTTGAGATTTTTTATCTGGTAGAGTAGAAAACCAATAGTCATGTATGGATTTGAGAGTTGGACCATAAGGAAGGCTGAGCACCAAAGAATTTATGCTTTCAAACTGTGGTGCTGGAGAAGACTCTGAAGAGTCCCTTGGACAGCAAGGAGATCAAACCAGCCAATCCTAAAGGAAATCAACCCTGAATATTCATTGGAAGGACTGATGCTGAAGCTAAAGCTCCAATACTTTGGCCACCTGATGTGAAGAGCTGACTTATTGGAAAAGACCCCGAAGCTGGGAAAAACTGAGGGTAAGAGGAGAACAGGGTGACAGAGGATGAGATGGTTGGATGGTATCACTGACTCAATGGACATGAGTTTGAGCAAACTCCAGGAGATAGTGATGGACAGAAAAGCACAGACAGAGAAGCCTGGTGTCTTACAGTTCACAGGGTTGCAAAGAGATGGACATGACTTAGCGACTGAACAAGAAGAGTATAAAAAACACAGGTTTTAGACTAGAGGTTAATGGGGAGAAGAGAAAAATCTAACAGAACAATTTCAAATAATATGTGCAGATACTCTCTTCTTTAGGAGGTGGAGTTTAGTTCCCATTATCACTGAGAGTAAGTTAGACTTATCTCCATAGAGTAGCAAAAGAGAAAAACAGTAACTTAACAGTAAAGAATCCTGGCAAATCTACTTCAACCAAGCAACGAAGGTGAGTATCACCAGTGATGTCATGTAACCCCTGGTATGGTCTGGTAAGAAGGGCACGTCATCTCTGTCGTGTACTTTCAGAAATTCATGATCTCAATCTAAGCACAAGAAAAACATCAGACAAACCCACACTGGGGTACATTCTGGAGAGTATCTTGCCAGTTACTCCTCAAGATTGTCAAGGTCATGAAAAACAAAACTTGAGGAAGAGTCATAGACCGGAGCCCATTGGTGAGATATGACTAAATGCAACTTGATGCTCTGAATTGGATCCGGGAACAGAAAGAGGACATTAAAGGATAAACTGTTGAAACCCAAACAAAATATGGAGTTTAGTTAACAGTAACATATCAATGCCTGTTTCTTAGTGTTGATAAACATACCATGGTAATGTAAGAGGGGAGAAACCAGGTTGAGGGGCATATAGAAACTCTATGCATTATCTTTGCATTTTTTCCTGTAATTTTAAAATTATTCCAAAATAAAGTTTATTAAAATGTGTGTATGATAGCATAATAGAAACCAATATATTCTTTTAATATAACTTACTGATAGTAAAGAATTTAATCTAACCCAAATATCAGAAGTATAAGCCAGAAATTTAAAAAGAAAATCATGGTATAGAATCCCAGTTTGACCAATGTTTTTCTGAATGATTTTTGGAAGCTGTATATTTTGCCAGAGGGATAAAACGGGAATAATATCTGTTTTAGCACAGTAACTAGAAATAGTACATTGCAGGCATACAATAAATGTTTGTTCAAAGAGTGAACTAAACCTTAAGAGGATTCATGCAATATTTATATAGTAAAGCAATGTTAAATATCTAGCACAATGCCTGGCACACAGCTAGTACTCAATAAATATTCAATGAATGACTAAATCAAATAGAACAGAAATGGGTCAGGCACAAGAGACAAATTTTGGTAACTTATTTTCCAAGAGACTGTCAAGAAGGGTAAAGATGTTATTATCTGCAAGTTAAGGTTGTGGGGCTTGGTCTAAATCCAAAATATCCACTGTGATCAAGTTGGGGGGGGGAATCAAATATTTTTCTCATTCAGAAAGCAAAGTTTGAGGATACTGGCAGGGATGACAACAGTCCAGGAACAGAAAGGAAAACCGGGAGGCTAAACCCAATGAGAAGATGGGGGGGGGGGGGGGGCGCAGGTATAGGGAACTGAGAATCCCACCAAACCTAGCAGTAGCACTAACTTAAGTTAACCCAGGATAGAGTCTGAGTCATAGAATTCAGCTCCCAAGAGCAATGGGAGTGAGGAAAGGAAATACAATAGACAAATCAATCTACTATCAGACCTCAGTTATTTTGGAAAACAGAAATTTCATTCTATAAATACATCTATTTCATGATTTTATAGGGTTTGTTTAAGGTTTTCTTTAAATTTCTTAGTAAAAACATTTTTTGAAAAGTGTTTGAAAAAAATCCTGACTCAGCTGAACTAGAATTGCATTTTTGTTTTGATGTGCCTAGGTTTGGAGAACAGAGAACTCCAAAACACCTGATGTCTGTCTGGGTGGGATGGTAGCAGCCACTGGGACCCAGCTGGCAATCCAGAGAAGCTGGTGAGGTTAGGAAAATGAAATAATCCCTGGGAATGGAACAGATAGGGATGTTGTAATTCTAGTCCCTTCCTATCAGAGGAGTTTTCTTTCCAAGAAAGAAAGCAAGGAAGCAAGAAAGAAATGAGAGAGAAAGGAGAAAAAGAGGGAAGAAAGAAAGACAGGGAAGGATCTCAGAGCAAGAAACAAAGGAGAGAGGAGATGGGGGAGAGACAGAAAAAAATTGGAAGGTACTATCTTCAGAGGGTACACTTATTTCCTTCCCTTCTAACAGTTACATATGCCAAGTATCAGCTGGGTCTATGGATGCAAGCCTATGCTTGATACTGCAGGGCATGTATGCTGATGCTATTTAGGCAAACTTATCCTGAAGGGTTTGACAGATTTGTCAGTCTGAGAATTTATATTTTAGAACGAACATAAAATCATCCTCCAATCTAACCTGTGACATTCTCTTCACAGAGCTTCAGATCTCTGTAAATGATGAAGGTCTCCCACCAGGCAACTTAAGGGACTGTTTAGAAACCTGAGACAGGTGAAACAGTGTAAATCCAGTTAATAATCTCTAACTGAGGACCCACACAGGACACAGTATATGCCTCTGCTTTACCATTCCTGCTATTTATTTGGGACTGTTATCTGTAAAATCTGAGTACTAATCTGATTTTCTGGAGATACCAGGTGCAGGGTGCTAGGTCTAAGAAGTAAGAAAAACAGTCTGACACTGGCTGTTCTCCCTCCATGCTCTTTAGCAAGGTATTTCAGACAGGGTTTGAAATGGGTTTGTGTTTCAAGTGCTCAGGACTTCAAACTGTTGAAATGGAAGTATGTTCTGAGGCAGCAAAGAGATGACAAAACACCAAAATCAGGCTAAGTCAGCCCACACTGAGTGACATATACCTTTGCAGTGACTGAAATACTTAGCTTCTCCTTTCCCAGGAAGTCTGGAGGCTACCAGGGCTCACCTGAGTTGTGATTTCACGCTGCCCCACCTGGGGTAGCCCCCAGAATGAAACTCATGCCTGACCAGCTCTCAGTGGGAGAACAATGAGATACAAGATTTATGGATGAAGGAGGAATCTCTCTTTTTTCTTCAGGCTTTCCTTCTCACTGATACCACCTCTAAAAAGATCTACCATCATTTCTTCTGAACATCTGGGAGGAGAGGAGGAGACTACTAAGTCATTCTAATTGTAGCTCTCTCATTTTCATTGATCAAAACCTGTCAAAACAGGTAGCAACTGTCACGTGCTGAAGTCTAAAATTTTAGGTTTCCAGACAGGAAACGGCAGTTTTTTTCTATCAGAAAATGAATGATTAAAGTATGATTTTAATTCCCTCACGACTCATTTCATCCAAAAAGGGCCTTCAGCAGTGAAAGCACAGAGTCCTTAACCACTAGACTGTCAAGGAATTCCTTCTGTACACTGAGACTGGCTTTCATCTAATGTCAGCCTTTCAGGTATTCAAACAAAACCTAGCCTTTACCAATGGAAAACTCTCATGCTCCAAAGTATTTTTGAAAAGGAGACTTGAAAGGAGAGGAGGAGTAGGGAAGAAGAGGAAGGTGTTAAGTGGACAATGAATGAGAAAACAGCCATTATGCACTAAGGTTTCTCTTTGACAAAGGTAGCAAAACAATCAAGTTGGAAAAGAAGAATCTTTGCAAGAAATGATGCTAGAACAACTGAATATCTACATGCAAAGGGATGAAGCTGAACCACATACTATACCCATACTATACCAAAAATTAACTCAAAATGGAACATAGATTTAATATAAGATCTAAAAACCATAAAACTTTTAGAAGAACACATGAGAGTACATCTTCATGAACTTGGGTGAGGCAACGATTCCTTAGGGTAACAAAAGCACAAGTGACAAAAAAAACAGAAGTAGGTCAAGTTTAAAAACTTCTCTGCTGCAAATGATAACCATCAAAAAAGTGAAAGACAACCCACAGAATGGGAGAAAATACTCGCAAATCATGTATGTGATGAAAAACCCCTGTGAGATACCACTTCACACCCACCAGGATCATAATAACCAAAAAGACAGTTAACAAGTGTTGGCA